ATGTTTCGTCTTTCATCTGAAAGACTTCCTCAGTCTGAGGTGCTGTATTCAGCTCAGTCTTATAAATTGCACCCTCTTGCAGTGGATCAACCGGTTTGCTGCTGACAGCCAAAACCAGCTGCTCACATAATCAAGGAGAACCATCAGCCTAACGATGGATCATTAGCACCTGATGGCTGTTTGCTATTCACAGGGTGCTGAGTGATACTAGCAATAGCAGCATTGTAAGAGGGGGACAGTTGAACACGTAGGCCTCCACCCCTGTTTAATGATGGACGGTTTCTTTTCACAAAGATGGCCTCCTTTACTCCTCTCTCAAACCATCGTACCTCTCTATCCAGGATGTGAACATCTTTATCCCTGAAAGAGTGACCGCTGGCCTGGAGATGAGTGTAGACCTCAGAGTCCTGGCCTGATGATGTTGATCTTCTGTGCTGGGCCATCCTTTTGGCCAGTGGCTGTTTAGTTTCCCCGATGTAAGACTGATCACAGCCCTCCTGACACTTAACAGCATACATAATATTACTCTGTTTGTGCTGGGGGACTGGATCTTTGGGATGAACCAGTCTTTTCCATAATGTGTTGTGGGGTTTAAAAGCCACTGGGACTTTATGTTTAGAAAATAAACGTCTCAGTTTCTCTGATACTCCCTCAACATACGGAATGAACACTGGTCTGTGTCTGGGTTCCTCCTTTTCACCTGATGGCTGGCTGGAGTCCTGTTTGGGTTTCTTCTCTGCGTTCAGGAGCGCCCCGTTAGGATATCCACATTGCTCTAGAGCCTGTCTTGTGTGGGATTTCTCCTTCTGCCTGGCTCCTGAGTTAGTGGGGACGCTGGCTGCTCTGTGGTACAGAGTCCCGATGACTCCTAACTTGTGCTCCAAAGGGTGATGGGAGTCAAACTGCAAATACTGGTCTGTGCGTTTTTTTTTTTTTTTTTTACAAATAGGATGGCTAAAAGGAAAAGGTAACAAAAAAAAAAAAAACAGCTAGATTTTAAGGTGAATGTAGAAAACTACATTCCCTCCCTGGGCTGCCACCTTACCGTGGTGGAGGGGTTTAAGTGTCCCAATGATCCTAGGAGCTATGCTGTCAGGGGCTTTATGGCCCTAGTAGGGTCACCCAAGGCAGACAGGTCCTAGGTGAGGGACCAGACAAAGTGCAGCCCAAAGACCCCAATGATGAGAAACACAAATGGATCTAGTGTTCCCTTGCCCGGACGTGGGTCACCGGGGCCCCACTCTGGAGCCAGGCCTGGAGGTGGGGCACGCGGGCGAGCGCATGGTGGCCGGGCTTTTACCCATGGAGCTCGGCCGGGCACAGCCCGAAGAGGAGACGTGGGTCCCCCTTCCCATGGGCTCACCACCTGTGGGAGGGGCCAAAGGGGTCGGGTGCAATGTGGGATGGGTGGTGGCCGAGGGCGGGGACCCTGGCGGTCTGATCCTCGGCTACAGAAGCTGGCTATTGGGACGTGGAATGTCACCTCACTGGTGGGGAAGGAGCCTGAGCTGGTGTGTGAGGCTGAGAGGTTCCGGCTAGAAATAGTCGGACTCACCTCTACGCATGGCTCAGGCTCTGGAACCAGTTTCCTTGAGAGGGGCTGGATACTTTTCCACTCTGGAGTTGCCCCTGGTGAGAGGCGCCGAGCAGGCGTGGGCGTACTTATTGCCCCCCAACTTGGTGACTGTGTATTGGGGTTCACCCCGGTGAATGAGAGGGTGGCCTCCATCCGCCTACGTGTGGGGGGACGGGTTCTGACTGTCGTTTGTGCTTATGCACCAAACGGCATTTCAGATTATCCACTCTTTCTGGAGTCCTTGGAGGGGGTACTGGAAAGTGCACCTTCTGGGGACTCCCTTGTTCTGCTGGGGGACTTCAATGCTCATGTGGGCAATGACAGTGAGACCTGGAGGGGTGTGGTTGGGAGGAACGGCCCCCCTGATCTGAACCAGAGTGGTGTTCTGTTGTTGGACTTCTGTGCTCGTCATGGATTGTCAATAACGAACACCTTGTTCAAGCATAAGGGTGTCCATATATGCTCTTGGCATCAGGACACCCTAGGCCGCAGTTCTATGATCGACTTTGTCATCGTCTCATCTGATCTGCGGCCACATGTCTTGGACACTCGGGTGAAGAGAGGGGCGGAGCTGTCAACTGATCACTACCTGGTGGTGAGTTGGCTCCGATGGTGGGGGAAGATGCCGGTCAGACCTGGCAGACCCAAACATATTGTGAGGGTTTGCTGGGAACGTCTGGCAGAGTCTCCTGTGAGACGGAGTTTCAACTCCCACCTCCGGGAGAACTTTGAACATGTTCCGAGAGAGGTGGGGGACATTGAGTCTGAGTGGACCACGTTTCGTGCCTCTATTGTCGAGGCGTCTTACCAGAGCTGGGGCCGCAAGGTTGTCGGTGCCTGTCGCGGCGGCAACCCTCGAACCCGATGGTGGACACTGTCGGTGAGGGATGCTGTCAGGCTGAAGAAGGAGTCCTATCGGGCCTTTTTGGCCTGTGGGACCCCGGAAGCAGCTGATGGGTACCGGCAGTCCAAGCGACATGCGGCTCGGGCGGTTGCTGAGGCAAAAACTCGGGCATGGGAGGAGTTCTGAAAGGCCATGGAGAACGACTTCCGCACGGCTTCGAGGCGATTCTGGTCCACCATCCGGCGTCTCAGGGGGGGAAAGCGGTACGCCACCAACACTGTTTATAGTGGGAGTGGTGTGCTGCTGACCTCAACTCGGGATGTTGTGGGTCGGTGGGCGGAATACTTTGAAGACCTCCTCAATCCCACCGGCACATCTTCCACTGAGGAAGCGGAGCCTGGGGACTCTGGGTCGGGCCCTCCAATCTCTGGTGCTGAGGTCACCGAGGTGGTTAAAAAGCTCTTCGGTGGCAGGGCCCCAGGGGTGGATGAGATCAGCCCAGAGTTCCTTAAGGCTCTGGATGTTGTAAGGTTGTGTTGGCTTACGCGACTCTGCAATATTGCGTGGACATCGGGGGAAGTTCACCTGGATTGGCAGACCGGGGTGG